GGGTGTTTTGAGTTTGTTGTTGTTTGGGGTTTGTTTGTTTTTAAATACACATGCCAGTGTTACAACCCAAATGGCTGAAACCTCCACTAAAGATTCTGTGGTCCAGACTTTTAACATCTCTTGGCTTTTTCCATTTTTGCTTTCATTGATAATTCAAAAAAATAATTATGTTACATGCAGTTCCAGGATTCATAAATAATCCTTATAAATTTCAACATCTATAGAGCCAGCTATGACAAGTGTATTTTTTATAACATTTTCCCCCCTGTATTTCCTGGATTTCAATCGCAAAAACTACCTGGAAATTATGTTAAAAAATATTAACATCAGAACACTGCTGCAACAAGGCTCTAAAAATAAGTCTTGTTACAAAGTGTTTCTTGAAGATTAAGCTAATAATGCAGTTCACTGTGTTAGTGTTGATTTTGCATTCTAGTGTTAGAAACAGTGTCGGATTTGGTTTTTATATACATATATCCTAGTGTTAGAAATATATAGTTTGTTTGAGAGAAGTGAGATATCTGCACATTCTAAAGACACCAGGAAGGGTTTACGGTCCAAGAAACTGAGGAAGTGAATTGGGCTCCATCTGGGGATCTAAACATGGAGAAGGATTTATGGCCCAAGATCGAACAAAGCCACTTCTATCTTCCTCCTCAGGGCAGGATGACACCAGTAGATTTGTTAATTGGGAAGACAGCCCAAGGGGCAAGAAAGGTCAAAATTTTACCTTAAAAGGTAAAAAGTAAACTGCTAGAATGGAATGTGTAAACAGGGGCAGGAAACTTATAGGATAATTTGAAGCGTCGGATAGGCTGTAAACCCTGGAGTACCCAGCCAGTGGGGAAACAGGGGAGGGAACTTGGCATCGGGAATAGGGAATATAAACCGTTATTCACCTTACTATGGGTGCGTCTACTTGTTTAGGTCACCCATTCTTGCAAGAATGTAAATAAACTGTGGTTCGTTGAAGGATCTGTGTGGGCCTGTCAATTGGCACGACAAACGTTTCTCACAACTGGAGAAGTGGTGAAGAGAAATTATCTTATGAGGAGACCACCTCTGCTGAAAACACATCAATGCTGCATCTACATCAGGGGAGATTATTAAATTCCAAAAGATCTAAAATTCTAAAAGGTTTCACAGTGATTGAGTCCTCTCCTTTTACAAAGTAGACCTCCTCAACTTCCCCAGTAGGCTTCCTAAAAAGTCTTTCTTAAAACAGAAAAGTCCTATTCTGATTTAATTTCTTTTGTTCTGTTTTTTCTGTCAACCTTTTCTGAAGCCAAATTGAGGTAGTAATAGTCTTCCTAGGATTACAAAGCACCGATGCAAAAAAGCAAGTCCTACATCTCTGATTTAAGGTTACTATAATCCAGTTTCTTTAGGAAAGCAAGAAAACTCAAAAACGAAATAAAAGATCTGAATAGTAATCAGATGGTTTTGCCATTTTTTTGTTTTCCTTTG